AGAGAAAGTGGTAGAAGGTTAGGGAAAATCCAAGAAATAGTAGAATGGGGTCGTATTTTCTTCGCGGTTTTTTCGTTTCACATGTGCTATTTACCCCCCCCCCACTCGTATGGACTCCACCGAAATCCCCAGCTGTATTTTCCATCAAACTGGGTCAGTTAGTGAAAAGTGAGAGAGTTACTGGAAGAAAATTGCCACTGGTAGGGAGGCCCGCGACTGGACTCTTTCCATGCCTCCTAATAATATAGAAGTCAACGTTCTTATCTCCCTCTCCACCCCCCCCCTCCCTCCAGATAAGTTTCGGTTTAGAGTGCTTGAAGGTGGAAATCTTGGTATGCCCAGGTGGGAACTGATTCAGGATTGCATTCATGGATCGCGCGCGTCGTATGCTGCCACTTTTTATACCTCACCTTCACCTCTGATGCTTACATACAAAAACAAACTGGAATGTTGAAATCTAGAAAGCTAATCAACTTCCAGCAATCAAAGAAATGTGCCGAGTACTATCCGAGAAAGAACGGTGATCAGTTGGTCTTCAACGAAATCAAAGTGCTCTCCAAAAAGCAATCAGACGTTAGTGGAATTGATCTGGTTTTCTTTACAAGACTACTTCATGAAAAGAAGATGATAATAACCGTCACTTTCCGCGTGCCGTACCTTTTTACCGTACCTTCCGTACCTTTTTATAGGGGAGGGGGTGTAGGTGAGGGATTTGATGAGACAATCGTAATAGGTCGCACTGGTAGGCGTGAAGAGGGATGCTCCGCTCTCTGGACGAGTTGTCTTGCCCGGCCGTTTCAGCTCAGTGTCAAAGAGACGGGAAGTTCAAATAACCATCATGGAGCCTTGTCTCAGTTTGCATTCATACGAGTTTCACTGCTCCACATGACAAGCTAATACACATCGAAAAACTTGCCACCTATCTCGCACGATACGCCACGCGCGAAAACGCGACCAATGCGATTGCCCTGTCCGTCTCTCTAGGATAGATGCCCTCCTGGCGGTGATGTGATGAAGTGTGAAAGCGGTGTTGGCACCAAGAATTTTTGATCTGTAGTAGCGCCACGTATGTCCAGTCAAGTAGCTAGGAACCACTAGCCTCTTGCTGCTAATCGCCGCAACGTGGATCTTTCAACCGACACCGCCTTGAAGGATTACCTCTTAAAAACGCTTCCTTTTTCTTCATTGTTCTGCAAATTAATTCATCCAAGCGGCATTCTTCCCGTCGCACTTCGCAGTGGTTCCACTATTCTTTTTATGTAACAACCAGTCGGATCGCACGGCTGACGCCGTGCTCTCCTCCTTCTCTTGAGCTCGGCTTCGCCGAGCTGGCCTGGCTTCGCCAGGCGGCTCCATAATTTTAACGGAACTTTTTCGGTAGTGCGCTGCTCATAAGGCGCTGTAGTGATCGAATCGTAACAGACAGAGCAAGGCTTAGGATCCCGTACAACACAGCACGCTTCCATTTACAGCAGCGGTGTAGTCCGCGCCATGACGCCCATAGAATACATAAATGATCCGCTTGTTGAAGTGTTTTTCGGTTCTCCTCGAATTTCCCTGAGATTCCTGTTTCAGGCGAACTACATACCCCCCGCTCGTCGACATCGACATTATATAGTAGGATGAGTTCATTTTCTAGGGCTATCAGGGAAGTGATGGCTAAAGGAAAAGTATGCACACTGAGCCTTTGATACTTGGGGGTATAGTGATAAGAGAGGTAATGATAATGGCCCCTTATCCTTTCTTATCAATTGATAAGATCCTGTCACCCGTCATCAATGTCCTATACTAAAACTATAATTTGGTAGTGTAAAGGCTCCAGCAATTTGACAACAGCATTGGCGACCTTTATCAGCCCCTATCAGCTGTTATCACCTCACGTGCCGTGTCCCCATCTCCAACTCTATATCATTTTCTGAAATTAATGCCCAGTTGATGCTGTGTTCCACGTTATGGGTATGGCGACCTTACCATTCTAACTCTCCTTATCAAATCCTATCAGCTGCTATCATTCCCTGTCACCCATCAATAATGTTCCTGTCTCACGCCCTATATCATACCTTGAAACCAATGTCCCACTTACTGGGTCCCGCACTATGGACTTGGTCTCCCTCCCCTTCTGACGCCTCTTGACGGATCTTATCAGCTGCTATCATTTCCCTGTCACCCATCAATAATGTTCCTGTCCCACGTCCTATATCATACCTTGGAACCAATGTCCCACTGTTACTGTGTCCCGCACTATGGGCTCGGTCACCCTCCCCTTTCTAAGGCCCCTTATCGAATCTTATCAGGTGCTATCACATTCTATCACCCACCAAAAGTGTTCCCGTCCTGCCATGTATATCACTTCTTGGAACTGTCGTCCTATCTTTTCTGCGACGCTCGCTATGAATTTCGTGACAGACAGACAGACGCACACACAAACATACACACACACACACACTTACAGACATACTTAGCGGATTATATAGAGTAGGATAGTCACGGTCTCAGCAAACGACTGAGCGTGTGAAGGGGCGTGATTTGAAGCGCAAACTGAACAACCGCTCCCGCCAACGGTGGGTCAGAACGGCATCATTGGTGGAAGTGGTCGCCGTGGCAGCGCTCCAATCCACCCGCGTCACACGGTCTATCCCTTGCAGGTGTTATGAGTGGGCATCCAAATAATCCCTTAAAACCCCGCAATTTGAAAAACCTGTTGCTTTATCTGCTATTACATCCATATCCCGTTATTATCGGAGGCTCTCCTCCTGAATTCAGGTGGGAGTCAGAGCTATATAAGTTGAAAGTGGTAGATGTGCACCTTTGCAGTACGATTCTTCGCGGGTCTTTACTGCCCCCTACCCCCCGGCTAGTCTCCGAAAGCGATTACTAAGCGACAACTCTTATTTTCAGTTCGCATTTCCATTCGAAACGTCAATTAAACTGGAAGTGACTCATCTCGAGGTGTCAGTACCTGGATGTTCTCCACACTCTTGCGTACACTATCACTGGGTTGACTGGCCGGATAGAGGCGTACCACCCGCTGATGCCGCTCCACTATTTCTTCTGCACAGCATTGCTAATATCAAGTAAGTTCCAACTTTACTACAGAATAGTTGGCTTATATTCTCGAGAACATTCCAGGACACCCATAATAATACACTGCTCTGCTGGTATAGGAAGAACTGGATCGATGGTACTACTGGAAACGGCTATGGAGGTGTTAGCCAGAGGCGACCAGTTGGGCGAGATGAATGGCTATCTCCAGGAGCTACGGAAGCAACGAAACAACAGCATTCAGGTAACCACTAAAGCCTCGTAATTCCCGGATTCCTGAATGAAACCGGTTTTCAGACTGATCAGCAGTATTTATACGTGCATCAAGTGCTACTCATATTCCTACGGAGAACTGGATTTGTCCCTCAGACACTTCAACCAGCCTTGGACGCTTTTACAAGTGCCTACAATGCGGCTACCAGTGGATTCTGAATCTAACATCACAGACTGATAGATAGATACCGTAACGATAGTTTAACAACTGTAGACGTTCAATATGCTGCCAATGCTCTTCCGTGTGTTATTCTTCTCTTCATTACAGATATAACACTCTTGTCGTACCATATTAATTAAAATAAACGATAGGACCGCACGAATGTTCCTTTCATCTGAATCAGTTCTAAAGCACACGATACAATTGAGAGTAATTTGCAGCTCCTTTTAGTTCTCGTCCAGAAATTCTTGTTAGCTGCGTGCGCTCAGGCGAGTCACGGGTAGGGTTCAGCGCCTTAAAGGCAGTTGGCACGATGGTTTCCTACTTAGCCTAAAATGCTAGTAGGGCGCTGTATAGTGGGGAAATGGCGAAAGAACGGAGTGAAACGGTCAAAATCCTGCGAAGAAAAAGCCTCCGTTCTCAGTGACTTGTAAATCGATTTCGGACGAGTTTCCCGTAGGCATCTTGCCAATCACCGCTACCGAAGATACGGCTGCATATGTGTACCCATGTATGCATGCAGCATCACGGCCGCTTCATACCAATCCCTTCGCTTCATAATTTGCTTAGCAAATGAATGAATACGAGCGTCAGGAACGGTCGTCCATTTGTGGGCGGGCGGGCGTGGCGGGCGTTTGGGACGTAATGTTGTGGCTTGATAGGGCCCTTATAAGGGCACCTTCCTCGGGGAAACCGCTATGCAGCGCCTGCCCAGGGTCGCGGAATTCCTGCCAGGAGTATTGATCCTAGTCGTCTTGGGGGATTTATCGTGCCAACTGCCTTTAAGCGATTGGTGGGGATAAATTTGAAGCCGCGCCAAACTCAACCCCCCGACACGCCCCAGAATCGCACGAACGAGACTTTAGAGATGCTGCGCAGTGAACAACAAACAGAGAAGAAAGACTGAAACCCATCAAATATGGCCGCATTCTGACTGACGATTTGGGAGCGGAGGTGGGGGGGGGGGAAGAAAACCTCTGTGAAACCAGCACTATTCAGGTGTTTCTACACAATTCTCCACAAACAGGCCAGTTCTTGACCGAATTTTCCCTGAGCGGGGAGATTTGGCTGCAAACTCGCACTAGTAGGAGTTCGACCTCCTGAACACGTACATCACATCCGCTCGGCCCGAAAGTTACTGTCGCCCGCGATAGGATACCCTGCATCACCAAATTCGCTAAAAACTTGTATAGGGGGTTATTTGTCATGTTGATTGCGAATATGACATTTATTCCTGGCTTGTGCTATTGGAGGACCCTATGATCGCGTGCGTTCTGCTGAGCCTGGTCCTGGCTTGGAGGAAATCACAGGAGGAAACCAGGCTCAGCCACAGCAGAGCGCTAAATGGTGTTGGTGTCAAAAAATGAATGACATTTTCGTGATCAAGGCATCAAACAATCCTATTGTGCAAGTTTTTATCGGTTTCGGTGGAGAAGGGTATGGCGCCAGATTGGGGCCTAATAGCCTCAGGGCTAAAAATGAATGTCATACTCGTGATCAGGGCACCAATTACCCTTACAGGCAAAGCTTCACCAAAGATTTTTTCGAGTTTTTGGGGTAGTAATAGCGGTGTACCGTAAAACCTTATCCCGACAGCTGCCGCCGCGCCCCGGATGCACAGATTAAAGTATACGATTAATGAAATTAAATGAAGTACTCAAGACAAATAGCGAACATGTCCAATGAATACGGTGCTCCACTACCATCCTTGCCGCAGCTGACAAGGCCATTTGTGGGCGGAGTCGCAAGTTGGCACCATTTCGAGAGTGCTTCTCACCAAAAAGACACCCACGCACCGTCTGCTCATCCTGTGCGCTTGCATGGGTCATATCGGCTTCAGGATACCTGTCAAACGCGGTTCCTTCCTCCTTTTTTTTCCTCCCTTCTCTCTCCTCTTGCCTACATTCCTCCCTTCGAAGGCTCTGCAAGAGGATGCGATGAGGTAACAACTTTGGACCATCGCAGCATGAGAACATCGGTTGACAGAAGCCCCGCATCCTTTCAAAAACCGCACTGCGCAATAGTGGGCGGGACCACATGGACAACATGACTGTATCTTATCGCTCGTATCAGCCGTTTTCCAGCAGTCGCTGCCGTTCTAATTGGTGGAAAACGGGCTTGCGGCCGCCACGCCCATTATCACGCCCCTTCAACTGCAATGAACAAGACTGCATTCGGAAAATGTGTGGGTCTGATAATCAATGCCAAAAAATTCAACTTTAATCTTTTTGGCGCTGTTCGAAGTAAGAATAAACAGTTAGTCGCAAACATTGTAAAACACACTATAATTATTAACAATATAATGACAAGGAAATTTCAAATCCCGTATAATTGAGGCACAATAGAATTAGAAACACCGTACGCTAGTGATTAGCTTGCGATAAGAACTGATGTCAACTGGGATACCCTACTTGCTGACTAAAGAACTTGATAAGACAGTCTTCGAAAGGTAAGGATAGAGATACTTTAAGCAGATCTAGTAATGACTTGCAGTAATATGTTGAGCACTTTAACAAGCACTTTTCTAGAGATCCGTAAAACTTTCTACAACTCAACAGCTTTGAGCATATTGTCTGATTAAGAGAAAAAAATAAGATAAAATCGATCGATAATTGAACGACTAACAATCTAACGACCAGCGTTTTCATTGCCCAGGGTAGTTCGAATCATGTCGGCCCATTCTTCTGCACAAGCGCTGCAATCCGAAGACGCTACTCCGACAACTGCCGGTTCAACATGACTACATCGGGCATATACTCGAATTTTCGAGAAGTTATTACCACCAACGGAACGCAGTGCAGCACCAGGAATCTGTAACGGAATGTTTATTTCGTTGAAAACGAGAACATTGTCAGTTAAAAGTATAAGAAGAAAATTAGGGCGTCATCCGGCGATGGGGGGTGGGGGGTATTTATGCTCTTTTGCTGCTCCATTAGTTCAGGTTTACAAGTCTCACTCTGGTGAGACCTGTCAACTCTTGTAAGCTCATGGAACATTCCATGAAATAACTTTCAGCATAATTCACGCGAGTTGACATGTACACTTTACGAAAGTTGACAGATGATCTCTATAAACTTTGGCTGGGACTATGGCTTCACAAGATAGAACGGGTCTCCACTTAATAGCTCGGCTCGTCGATCGAAAGTAGCAAAAAAGCGAACCTCCCCCCCCCCATTCGCCGAAATGCGCCAGATAGGTATTCTCGATAAAAAAGAAAGGTTAGAAGTGATTTACCTCGACGCTTGTTATACATTTTGTTGGAGCAACCCATGTTTCCAGAATGTCAAGCTTCTCATCAGCCGATAAAGCATCCTGCACACCAGGTTCGTCCCATACCTGAAACATGTCAGGGGTGTATCACCAACTCCTTTAGGCCTGGAATAGACATAGGATGCTACGGGAACTCCTTCCTATTCCATGACATACAACTAGCTCGATATGTTTATAATACGAAGACCTTAAATTCGAAAAAAAGAGAACAAATCAACTGATCAATCTTTGAGAGATTCGCCATGCACTTAGCCCGCACTCGAAATCGCAAGAGCATTCAAATGCATGTTAGGCCTTCAAATCGGCACTCGGCATTGGTTAGCGTTATTGCCCACCTTTATGAGATCGGATCCCGTTTTAACAATCTTGGACGGCTCAATCTATACACTTGTTCGAAGATACATCACTGCCAAGATTAAGAGAAGGTCGATCCCGGACGATTCCCATTTTGTTTGAAACTCTCTCTCTCTCTCTCTCTTTTCTCGAGTAGTTTGGCCGAAACTCAGTCTCTGGGGGCTGGTTTGATCTTCTGAGCGCAAATGCCATCCGCTCGTAGCCAAAAGGCCTCGCCCGCGCGCCACAGGCACCCCTGCTCTCAGCGCATAGTTTAGACGTTTTCTCGTCAAATGGATGCGACAGTCGAATTAAGAAGATCAAACTAATCATCGGAAAAGTTTCAGCTAATCTGGTGTTTCATGAAAGCGCCAGGGTTAGTGAAGTAATCCGTGCTTAGCGGGGTTGTTTTCCCTTCCTTTACTAATGAGCACAAAGAAAGGTCTGTGTTTTTTTTGCTCGGCTCCTGTCTAAGGGCATGTGCGAAACAGAAGATAGTTTTCCTTTCAACCCCCCGCGCCCCCCCTTAATATGTCTTCCATTTTTCTGAATATTTTAGCAAAACGTCAGTATTTTTCATTATTGCCTTTTCTTGGTGGTGAAATCCACAGTACTTACCATAGGCCACAACCGCCGTAACTGACTGTTGCGTTTTTGTGTGTTCGTTATGGGCAAGTACTTGAATGCAGCTGAGAGAATTGACTTCGATTGACAGTCCTCATGATTAGCAACCACTTCCCAAGCTAAACCAGCAACAGAACGAAGTGCTGCATCCACCTGTATGAGAGATGATTCTAAGCGAACAAAAAAATAAAGGTGCAGAAAGGGTACAGCATCGTGATGTGTGAAATGGTAGTGGGTACTATCCCCCACCCCCACCTCGAGGGAAGGTCTCGGGACGATCCCCTCCTGTCCAGCACCTACCAACCAATTTCCTTATTTTCCGGCTTTTACCCAGAGATGAGGTTTTCCATCGAGAATTCCAAAAATTTCCCTAATTTTCCCCAAAATTAGAATTCTGCGGTCGGGAGGATAACGTGCGCATGAAACAGGAAAAATCACGAAAAGGCAACGACCGGGAAGAATTTTTTCTCAACGCAGCAAATTCCATTCGAAGCCACGTACGACCCCCTCTCCCAACAACGAACAAATATGACCCCCCTCCCCAGCGGAAAAGTACGACCCCCCCCCCTATGTGTTCACACAACGATGCTGTACCCTGGATGCAGAATGATGACATTAGAGAAATATGAGGTACCTTTGCATCAGGAGTAGCATTGCGAGCCCGTCCTATTTGCTCAATCGCAGCTAGGACATTGCCAGCCATGAGATGGACTAGAGCGATAGGAACAGAAGCGTCTAAGCCTGTAGACTTCGATGATGGAGCATTGACGGGATGACGGCAGAGAAAATGACGAGAAACTGCCTGAAAACAAGTACAACGCAGATCATCATCTACATTCTGATGATTCAGTCGTTCAAGGATTCAGTCCCGGGGGACATACCTGAATTGTTGGCAAGTCGCATCCTCTAAGGCGCGTCATGAGTTGCTTTTGATCGAACGATGTGGAAACACTATCTTCAAAGAATAATTAATTACTAAGGAGGGTCAAGATTACGCGACTCGGAGCAATTGTGAATGTGGACAAACCTTCATCGTAAAAGCGAAAGTTCAGGACTTCAGGAATTTAATGTTGGTTAACACGAAAAGATGCATCCATCAGGCCAATGAAAAACACATCGCTTTGCAGCCCCAGCGCCGTCCTGCTGTAATATTACTGTTCGCGAAGCATCGAAATGAAATACCTATGACCATGATGCATACAAGAAGTATTCTACAGCCTTTTTCACTGCGGACGAAATGGCGTATCAGACGGGATGGGGTTGGCGCGGCGCCAACTCTGTTTTCCACCAACTGTTGAAGCGAGCAAGCGATAATATTGCATAGTACCTCGCATCAGTCGTTTACCCCTAGTTCCGGTCGCGTACCCGCTTCAACAAGTGCTGGAAAACGAGTCTGGCGCTGCGGTAAACGCATCCCGCCTGATACGCATTCATCCGCAGCAAACCCAAGAACTAACTAAGGCATCACTCTATTGCTCCCAGCTAGTGGGGGAAACCCAGTAAGGCAGGATAACCGGTCCAGGAGAACTGCCAGACACCTGCAGAACTGTGAGCAGAAGGTCCTACTGTTCCAATAAATCAGTGATCAGTTGAAAAGACAAACCTTTTGTGCCTGGTAAAAGTATTTCTTCGTTAGAGATGGAGTTTTATCCGATGGAACACCACACTGCGCGTAATCATTCCTGCCCCACCCAAAAGTCCGCCCATCCTTTGAGACGCCAATTGTATGATTTCCTCCTGAAGCAACCACAATTACACCCTGACAACAAACTATCGGTGTCCGGAAAGTTTTGAGAAATTTCGTCTGGCCTCACTTTGAGAAAAAGCGCAGCGCCGCTTTTAAGGTGTGAGTAAATCTGTAGATCAAAACATTGGAAGATAAAGGATTGCCTGTAGATCAAATAAGCAGCCGACCAATATTTCATTTCGTCATTAGCCTTTGTTGTAAACCAATCGAACAATGTGCGACAGACACTACAATCGACGCATCCCTACTTCATTTTTACCGTTCCGCGCGGCCCGCTCCGCCACTCAAGCGAGGAACGAATTGCTGTCGTCGATGGGTGGCAATGCACCCTCTCTTGCAACCTGCTACAGGTGGTACGATCGCTTCGCAGTGGGAGAGTTTAGCCTCGATGAAGCACCTCGATGCGGACGCCCTCCCTCTTCCAACACTGGCATCGTGCTGGCTTCTGTGAGGGCCAATCCTGCCCAAAGTCTGAGGGAGTTGGAGAGGACGACTTCCACTCCTCGATCCACTATTCACGGCATTCTGAAAAGGAACGGCTTCCGCGCGGCTTTGCCCGGAATCATTCCGCGGTCTCTTACCGCAAGGGAGCGTGCGGTGAGGGTCGATGTGTGTCAGAAGCTCCTCGATCGAGAAAGAACGACGACTTGGGCGAGCTTCATAATTGCTCAGGATGAAAAGTGGATCTCGTACGAAAACCCGGATAGGAAACTGGAGTGGCTGCCGTCGGATCAAAAGCCGGAGCCCGTTCCAAAGCGAGGCTGCCACGCCAAGAAGGACTTGCTCTCGTTTTTCTTCTGCTCCACCGGCTGTATTCAGGGTACAGCATCGTTGTGTGAAACACATAGGGGGGTCGTACTTTTCCGCTGGGGAGGGGGTCGTATTTGGGGTAAGACAAATTTATTTTGATAGTTGATTTTTTCTTGTGGAAAAAGGGGGTCGTATTAATTTTTTGTGTTATATGCACCTTGTACACCCGCCGGATATACGTTGCATAGTTATTGTATCCCCCCACACCAACGGGGAAAGAAATGGGGGGGGGGTCGTGGCGTGGACCCCATTCGGAGGGGGGGGGTTGTACCCACAAGCACGACATTGGTCGCTATCCCTATGCTGTACCCTGGCTGTGTTTACTACGAGATTCTTCATGAGGGTACTACTGTAACATCATCGATATTCTGTGAGCAACTACGAAGAGCTGGTGTCCGCAAGCTACGAGCTGGAGAATTTAGGAATCGAATGGCTGCCCCATCCTCCGTATTCACCTGACCTTAGCCCTTGTGATTACCATGCTTTCAGGAGTCTCCAGGCTTACGCTACGGGCAAGATGTTCAACAACCATCAGGATGTCAGGCGTATGGTCGATGAATGGATTGCATCCCGGCCTGCTTCCTTCTGGAAGGAAGGTATCGATGCCCTGCCCAAACGGTGGAGAGACGTCGTGGCTAAGAAGGGCCACTATCTTGATTACTGATTTTTCGCTTTTGTTTGTTTGTTAATATGTGTTGAATAAAATGACCGAATTTTCTCAAAACTTTCTGGACACCCTAACATCACAATAAGAGCCTACTATTAGGCGATACTGACCAAGGGAATTCGCGACAAGATGAGGAGAAAATGAAATGATCTCACCAAGGAGCAAAATAGAACGATCATAAGAAGCGTTCAGACTCCGCGATGACGCGCGTCGACTCGCGACGACGCGCTACAATTGCAGCAGCGCTCCAATACTATAGAGGCGAAAGCAGCCGCATACAGCAATCAATCGACGCCGGCCGCTCGTGATGGAGAGAGTACAGGATGACAGGAGGGTAAGTGCTGCCTCCACACCTGGTACTCGCCCGTTTTTCAATACTCTCCTGACGCTGTACGTCACGTCGACCGATAAGTCTGTGGCTGGGTTCGCGTCTGCAGCATGGAAGCGCAATAGCGGCGCGTCGACGTGCGTTAACGCGATGTATGAACGCTACTGCTCGATGACCTATTAAATGAGTACAACAGGAAATCAAAAGTACCTACCGCACGCTACCAGCTTCCATTTTACATCACGAGGATCGAATAAAATATGTGGCTCGCTGCGTTCAGTCTTGTTACCGTGACCCAGTTGAAAATCAAGACCCTGCGAATAAACAATATTCATGAGAATTAAAACCTATTCTGAAAAAAAACTGGAATACACCCACCTTTCCCCACGTGAAAAGCGATCCTTGATCAGTGACGACTGCAATATGAGACAGGCCTGTGGAAGCGTCAACCACTGGCCCGTCAAGAAGGTGTAACACTTCTCGAACGCCTAGGTCATCACGTGGAGTGTCCATAGGGAGGAGGATTTTCGGTTTTTCCATATTAACAATGCCCTAAAAGATGATTAAACCATAGAAACAGAAATTTCATCCAGAAAAACATAGAAGGGGAAGAGACTGACGATTTCATCTCCTTCCTCGTCTGCAAGTCGCTTCAACTGTGCCATGCGAAGCCGTCTCGTGACAAACATACGCATTTTTACTTCTTGTGGATTTCTACCCCATTCGAAGATACGCCCATCTTCCGTAATCGCAACAGATACATAGAAACCGGTGGCGATTTTCACGAACTGGAAGTATAAGAAACCATTAGAGACCATGGGAGCATGAAATAGAAGCAACTTTCGTTGATGAATAAAGCTACACCTTCAGTGTCGAATCTACAGGCAGTGGGCGGAAGTCATACTGCTTTTTGATTTC